GTTGTCGGTTTTTTTTTTTTTTTTTTTTTGAGAAAAGAAAGAACTAAAAAGAAAAATAAAAATAAAAGAGACAAAGCAATATACAGGCAGGTACTAGGGAGAAGCCGGTGGTGGTGGTGGTGGGAAATGTTGGGCAAACAAGGCTTGCATCAAAGTGCGCGTCTCGAAGGCATTATCCTGACCCTGTTGCTGGATGGCGAGGTTGTCGGCGTGGAGCTGATCGAAATGCGCCTGAGAATAGTCGCGAAAAGCCTGGAAATCCGTGCGCAACTCCATGAGACTCTGGTGGTGATCACGAAGAGTATGATGGACCTGATCGACAGAGTGCTGAAGCTGTAAGTACTCCTCGCGAGTCATGTAGAGTGGGTCCCCTTGGGGAGGCACAGGGGGAACAGGATGAGCTGGGTGGTCATGGACGGGGTCTTGGGCCTTATCAACTGGGGCACCTACCGGCTGCGGGATGCGAGATATGCTGTGCTGCCATTCCCGCTGGCCTAATGTCGGATACCCTCTATCAATCTCCTCATCCTCAGCAATGGGGAGGTGGTTCAGCTTAAACACAAGTGTCAACAAATTGGCGAATGGTAGGGGCCAAGTCAGGTTCTGCAGAGGAGTAGGCCGAACTGCCTCCCGTAGAAATTTCTGCACATGTAGCAAAATGAAATCCTCAAGCGGGACTTGATAGCCAAGCTGATACCCGTGTAAAACCCGCACAAACTCCAAACGGCGCTCAGCTCGATGCCCAAGTGGAAGGACATTCTTATGGACCACGGAATCAAGGAGAAGCAAGCGGCTAGGTAGCTTGCTTCGCCGCAAGCATGTGAAACTGGGGTTACCGTGGGCTCCCGGGAAGTATTGCTGGATGAGGCGAGGTACGGGTTGGCGATCCTCAACTTCCGGGAAAGGCTGATCTTCCGGTTTGGCGAAAAACTCTAACACTTTGGCAATCATGGCCGAGGTGATGTGAACAACATGACCATCAATGTCAGAGAGCAGTCCAACCGCAGTGGGTGTCTCATGCAGGTTCTGGTAGAATAATCGGACCAAGCGAGGATAAGTGGGCGCTGTCACGGCGCAAATGCCCAACTGTTGCCGAAGTCGGAGCTGCTCAACCGCCCAAGTAGTGTCCTCGTCATGCTTGAAGAATGGCAGGTTGAACTGCGTGAGCTTGTGAAGAGGCCGTGAAGCCCACTCCGGCCGAGGCAAGTCTCCTGGTGGTGGTGGCGAGGATGGTGGTGATGGTGGTGGTGGTGGCGCCGAAGAGGAGGCACCCCTGGCCTTTTTGGAGGCCCGAGCAGAGACACAGCGACTCATATCCTGCACACACCAACAATAAATACAGATACCCGTAAAACCAGCATGAGAACCAACTAAATTATGAAAGAACAAAGTTGCCCATTAATGTACCCCATGCAATTCCCCCTTTTTTTTTTTTTTTTTTTTT